AAACACCAGAAGATTGGAACAGTGTGGCTGTGGTGCATTACCTGCTGCAGCTTAATTAATGGAACACCGCCATTGGTCAGCAGAAGTAAACACTGTGATAAGTATTTGCCTGAATGTTACAGACTGCTTCAATGATAAACTGAAGAGCAGGAGTGGAAGTGATACGATCAGTCTTTCAATCCCAGCTCTGCCATAATACGAATGTACAACATTGTGCAAGTGGATTCTGGCTCTCCTCCCTTTCTGATAGGACCAGTGGAGCTGTGAGAGTGAAAACAGTGCATCCAAACCAGCTCTGGTGATGCTTCATGCTAGTGAAGTTTAGATTACATGATAGAAGATAAAATAAAAATGCAAAACTTTATGGTATCTGCCAGCAACTGAAACATTTATTTTTTCCAAAACATCTCCTAAGCCAATATGTTCCTACATCTCTCTTTGAACCTGAAGTTATTTATTACCACCTCAAAACACATTAATAACTCTAATGAGAGCACATGCACGTGGAGTTACTGAAGAAAATTTCCGTACATGGTAAATCTTTAGAATTTAAGAGAGAATTCTTTCTTTACCCTTCCTCTACATGAAAACGATTATCTGACAATTCCTTTGATTCACCATTGATCATTTTCCTCTTTGATCCCTCTCACAATATTCATTACGTGAACAGTTCTATATGGCTTTCACTGCTTTTTTTCCTCGTTTATTATTTCAGGGTATAAACTCACATTGCAAATATGACTTTACATACTACCACACAATAAAATTAGCAAAATTTTTGCAATGGTAACTTTCAGACATCAGTCAGAAGGAAACCTGAGCTTGTTTTCAAAGTACACACTGCAAGGACCAGATTTCCCTTTTAATCATTTTGTGATTTTATCTAATTAATTGTTCACTTTCTAATTTAATTGGTACCTTTCAGGCATTAGCATTGTAGAGCAAGAGCACAGTAAATAACACACACTTGGAGGACAGCTGAATCTGGGATATTTTTCACCTCACCAGTGTTTGGGATCATTAAACATGTCAGACTTGTTTGGACCAGGAAGAAGGCTTCTCTGAGTCTATTCCTTTTAAGGAGTGCAGCTACTGTGAGTTACAGAGCAATGAAATGCACAAAGTACACAAAGTGCCAAAGAAAATAAAGAAGTCAGCTGGACTGAAACTTTATCACTGTGTAAAATAACAAAACAAACAGAAATTCAACCACCCACCTAAAGAGAAAGCCACATGATCATTAGAGCGTTTAGTTTATTTTAATCTCCCAATTTTGATATGTGCATAACATCTGGAGTCTGTTTCTCGTTAAATCTCTGTATCTTGTATAACTGTTTACTCCTCAGAAAAGTGGACATAAACCACTACCAAATAAAAATCCTTTATCCATTTTTCACAGGTTAAAATGACCGTGAGTGCCTACAGCAACAGATTCTTGAGTGAATGACAAGGTTCTTCTAGTACCTCTCTTGCTCATGTATCTAGGAATATGGCCTTAGCTAGGAGTAGAAGGAACACCATATACATAAATAAGGATCAAAACTGAAATATTATTGATATCAGGTATTGAGCACAGAAGTTCTCTCTCCATATCAACATTACCCAAAAGACCACTTTCAGATGTTGAAAAAAAATACAAAATGGCAAAAATGAAGTAACTTCCTTTGCTGCTCCTACACTGAGAGTTTTTGCTCATGGTTTTGCTAAAGTGTGATCTGTCACACACTCCTACATTCAATTCCCTTTTTTAATTCAGCCAGTTGTTTTTGTGAAGAGCACACAATACAACATGAGCTCATGAAATAGCAGAAGTTCATTCTTCTGCAGCTGTTACTCAGGTTCCAACCTCCAACCAAACTCACAGCACACAGTCTTTTCCTTGTGTCTTTTTAGTGAAAGAAAGGTGAAGGTTCCAATCACTGTTGCTGGTTTAGGATTTTTTTTTACAAGATACTGGAAAAGACTTCATTCTGTCCTTCACAAGATCAAACAGAACTACAACTTCACTTTAAGAAAAAAGAGTGATTTGAAACACCTTTTCTCAACTGCACACAAACACAAGGTTGTTTCGTTTTTTTTTTCTTGTTAAAAATGTGAGGAAATAAGGAAATAGAATCACAAAGTCACTTGAGTTGAGAGGGACACTTAGAGGTCACCTAGTCCAACTCCCACAATGAACAGGGACACCTCCAGCTCAATCAGATGCTCAGAGCCCCACCCAGTCTGACTTCCAATGTGTCTCCAGGGATGGGACACACACCACGTCTGTGGGCAACCTGCTCCAGTGCCTCACCCCTCACTTCTTCCTTATATCCCGTCTCTTCCTTATAAGCAGATGTTGGAACTGAAGCATTTTTAGATCACACCAGATTTTTAACAGAATCTCAAGTTACCCTTAGCAAAACACGTGCTTTGTTTAACAGAGGGCATGGTTTCACCACTGATGTTTATTGTCACCAACTCGGAACTGAATCCTGCTTCTGATCTCCTCAGAAATACTGTGTGACAATACATCTCTTACTGATCCTTTAGTTTTTGGCAGCCACTGTACGCTAAGCATTAAAACTCTTTGGAGTTTTAATGTGTTGCATCTGTGGAAGTGGGCATGTCTGGTTAATGGCAGATTAGCCATAGGAGTTAATGGTAAGTACCACTGGCTACTTACTCCAGGTCTACAAAACATGACTACACCTTAATGTTCTGTGTAACTCATGATAAAGCCTCTGGAGGCTGTTACAGACAGGAGCGGCTGCCAGGTTCTGTGGTGTTTATATTTCTATCCAACTGTGCTGAGAGACACAGCAGCGTTTTGGATAAACAAAGCCTTCAGCAGAAATTATCGACGGCCTTATTATAATCTACACAGACCTACTGCTCAACTACAGGATAATCAAAAGGTAAGCAGTAAGCAGTGCTAGTTTGTGCCAAACAGCAAAAGATCAGCAGACAAAAGAACACTGATGATTAGGGGAAAGCTTAAGTATATTACATAAATAAATGCTAGTTCAAGGAATAAGTTGCTTAAATAACTTCCTGCGATGTACTAACTTGTTCTTAGGTGGAAAAGTAGATGAAAAACAGTATATTATGTCAGGAAGAGTTCTTCAGCCTAACCAGTAAAAAATGTACAGATGAAGAAATTCACACTCTCTGGGATACTGGCACCGAGCAGTGCTATGGCACGGAAACACCCACAGTTGAAGCCCAGCCCAATAAAGGAAAAGAACCTGTGTGGCTTCTGTTTTCTTCTCCCTTCCTTTTTCCTGCCTGTGGCTGTGGTATCGTAGTGCTTTTATTTTGCTGATATTGAAGAACAACAGATGGGTGAACTGGGAACTTTTCCTTTTGAGAAGGGAATGTTTTTTATGCTTCTTAAGAAGTGGGCTGATGGACTTAGGTGGAACGATGAAGAAAAGCTCACCTGGTACAACCCTGAAAACTCTTCTGTAGATGTTAATTTCTTGCTTTAGAGTAATGCCAATCAGGGTAAGAGATATTCGAGTCTAAATGCAGGTTGCACACACTCTGTATTTCCTTTGGAAACCCAACCATAATGTGGGAACAGCGACAGGATCTGAATCTGCAAAGTTGTCTGTGCAGTGGTAATTATAGTACTGTGTGCTCCTGTGTTTCGCCAAGAAACCTTAATTCTGGCACTTATCTCACACTTTGTGTACTGCTCAACAAATGCTGTGAGACAGGGCAAATATTTACCTGTTTATCAGTGAATGACATTATTTGGAGAACAGCCGTATTCGCAAAGAAACTCCACTATAAAGGGACTCAGAAGGTCCCAACTCCTCCAAAACCCGCCTGCACTGTTTTTTAAGTCAGGAACGCGTCCTGAAGAGTAAAAAGAGTAAAAGAAAAAAACCCTATGAAATATTTACCCTTCAAATTATGAAGCAATTTCTTTGTAACTGCTTGCTCCCACATGTGTAACTGGTGAGGTGATTATGTTGCACAGACCTGGACATAGTGAGCTTTGTTTTAAAAATATTTTACATTCACAATATAGATACATGCAACTGCTGTTGTTACTTCGTGGCAAATCAACCAGTTATGCTCATATAAATATTTTTTTATCTTCCCATTTCCATGTGGTTTCCCCTGTAATTGTTGCATAGACTCTGAGTCAGAACCCTGCTGCTCTTTATCAAATCCATCTGAAGATTCAAGAGTCATTATCAGGCCAGAACGCATGGGCCCTGAGCAGCCTGGTCTAGCATTAAATGGGGAGGTTGGTGGCCCTGCATGCGGCAGGGGTTGGAGATTCATGATCCTTGAGGTCCCTTCCAACCCTGCCATTCTGTGATTCAGTGATTGTGGGGTAAGCCACAACAGTGTGAGTAAACTAGTAGGGAAGGAACACGTCAGGAGAAAAACAGACTAATGCATCAGAATTGAGGGAGATTCAAAAAACAGACACATTGAAATGGAGAAAAAAGGTGTCCTCAGTGGCATGATTTCAGCATATAATCAGTGTTACTATAAATCAGAGGTTTGGCTTTTGTGCAATAAACATTTCTTCCCCATTAATATTTCCCCCCTACAAAAAAAAACCCCTCAACTAACTAGGCAGATCTACCTGCGGTCAAGTTGAAAAGAGATCAAATATTGATTTTTCAGATCTGCAATAGGGCAAAAGAGTCCCATATAATATACCATATGTATGATATCGTGTGTATCAAGAAAGTCATAAATGTCACGCTCTCCGCTATCTGTGAACGCGTGAGTCTCTCAAGCCTGGGACGCGCAGTGTGACACAGTGTTACGGAGTGAGACCACCCTGCGCCGCACACGGAAGGAGCAGAGGTGAGCAGAGCCCCCGGACGCACGGGGTGTCCCACGGAGTGTCCACGCGGCGCCGGCGCTCAGCGCAGCCGCTCTCTCCCTGGTACGCCCGTAGCCCAGAAGCTGGTTTGCAGCTCCCCGTCCTCCGAGGGGCCGATGACAGCGGTCCTGCACTCAGTGGTGTTTCCCACTTCTAGAGGCGGTGGATGCCCTGGCGACAGTGCCGCTCATTGCCGCTGCAGTGGTCTGGGGGGGATAGGCGGGGCGGTACGGCAAGAAAACTTCTGCATGTAAGGACCTCCCGAGTCTGCACTCCTTACAAAACACGGGCCGGTACCTGTAAGCCAAACTCAAGGTTCGGCAGGGAGAGAAGTGCAGCTGACTGCACAAAACCCCACAACAAAAACCGCGCGCCCTCTCCAGCAGAGGGATAGTCCTTAACCCGCCAGCAGCTCCCAGCCTGGCCCGAAGGCAGAGGTACCGCCAGCAGAGGGACGGACACCGTCCCGCCCGGCAGCCGCAGCACCGAGCGGGCGGAGGCACCTGCCGCCGGCGGGCCATAGCCGGCTGCTGCCTGTCGGCCGACCAGAAAAAAATCGCGCGGAGCGCCATCAGCGCGGAGATCGAGCGGCAGCTGCGCCGCGACAAGCGGGACGCGCGGCGGGAGCTGAAGCTGCTGCTGCTGGGTGAGTGCGGCTCGGCGCGGGCGCGGGGCGGCGGGGCACGGCGCGGCCCTGGGACGGGCGGTGCCAAAAGAAAAGCCGTAGCGCTGACGTACCGCAGTGCCACGTGCCTGGCTGGCCGTCGCCGGTTGGCGGCCTGGAGGTGTGCGGTTGGCTGACGCAGCCGTCAGAGGGAATGGCTGCTTATTTTCTGCAAGGTCTTTGGGGAAGACTGATAAATTTTGAACCTTGCTGTGAATATTTGTAAGGAATAGGATTCGGCTGCCAGAAAGTTCCACCGCAGGAGTGGAATCCTGTTTGTTGGGAGCGTCTGCGAAGTCTGTGAGTGACTTTCTTCCCAGTTCACACTCTGCCTGTACGCTGTGCAGATGTTGCAGTGCTCACCAGTTTCAGACTTTTTCCTCTTCTTGCATTTGGGATATCACACTAACTCAAAACATAGAGGGAGTTCTTTTGCATAATTCCGCTGTTTTAACCAGAAACACTGGTGTGTGTGCTCAAGTTGGTGAAAAGAACTCAGAGTAACAAAAGTACTCCCCCTAACAAGAACAACAAAAATGCACCAGCTCTTCATTTGTATTTTCTGCAGTTGAAATCACTGTAAGACACACATTCTCCCGCTACATGCAGCACTGAACAGCTATGAATGTTGTATGTTTCACCCAACAGCTGGAAGAATTTTTTGTTAGTTGGCTTCTGCACTTGAAAGTTGTGCAGGAAACACAAGTGTAATTTGTTAGATCCAGATGTATCAGATTCTCAGTCTAATGAGAGTTACAGGAAAGACAGAACCAGGAGGCAAAACCGGGGGAGCTGCTGCATCTAGAGGTGGTGTTTGTATGCCTTTGTGGTGGGATGAAGTGAGGTTGTTGGCGAGAATGATGCCCTTAGGCAGGTGCTTAAGTGCCTGGCCAGCATGCCAACGTGGTCTGTGGGGGTGAGCGGAGGGGCTTGGCTCTGCAGTCTGGAACGTATGTATGTAACATGGCTGATTCCTTTGTGCTGGTAATTATGATGCTTGTGTAGAACATCGATGTAACCATATTTGGACAGATATTTTATGTATTTGGCAGAAAGCATAATTTAAGTGTATAGTTCCATTCAGTGGAAAGTAAATGATCATCTTGTCTGGCAAATATAGCAGTACCTTATTTCTTTTACAGGAAAAGGAAAAAAAAAATGTTATTCTGAATGACTGTTAATCCTACAACGTTTTGTCTTTTGAAAGCAATTCTTCAGGAGTGAGAATGGCATAAAATAACTTCCCTCCTTCCAGTAACCAGCTCTCAGCATCCACCTCTTTCAGTCTCAGAAGCTTCCTGAGCCACCTGAAGTTCCTGACCTTTCAGTAGTTCTCACTGTATTCTTCTTCCATGAGCTTATCTAACATTTTTGGCCATCTACTGCATTTTCTGGCAGAAGATGTTAATTTTAGCTGTGCTTTGTGTGAGAAAATTCTACCATTTGTTTTTCATTTCCTCATATTCATGGGAGGGCCAGGTGGAGGTTAGGGGCAGGTTCTGCACCACAGGGCGGTGGGCATGGAACAGTCAGCCCAGGACAGTGGGCATGGCCCTGAGCTGGTGGAGTTCAAGAAATGTTTGGACAGTGCTCTAAGACATTGCGTCTGATTTTCGGTTGGTCCTGTATGGAGCCGGGAGCTGGGCTCAGTAATCCTTGTGGACCCCTTCCAACTCAGGATATCTTCTATGATTCTTATTCAAAAACTCGTAATATTAGTTTAGAAAGAAGTAGAATACTGCCAATGCCAATCCAGTCTTCTCCGTGTCTCTTGGTGATGCATACTTACTACATCTCTCTTCAGTCATCTGTCTGACAAGATGAAGCACATAAATTTTCTTCACTGTGCCCAGGTGTGTGCATGACAGCAGTGTGCTAATAAAGGGGGATGTAATGTACTTTCAAAGCTTAATTCTTGAGACATTCACTGGGGAATGGCAGTTTTTTATTTTATTTTATTTTATTTTATTTTATTTTATTTTATTTTATTTTATTTTATTTTTTCACACACCGGTTTTTATTATAGCCCATAAGCGTCTGCTTCCTACCTCTTCCTGCTCTGCTTCCCTGCTCCAGGCTTCTCTGGAGTGAGAGAGCAGACTTTGGAAAGAACTCATCTTGCTCCATAGCACTGAACCCACTTACAGAACGGACCTGCCTGAAGGGAGCGTTATGTGTTCCCAAGTATGTGTCTTAATACCACAGTCAGCATTACAAAGCTTTGCTGTCTGTGTCAGATTAGGATATGAAAAATTCTCACCCTTATGTCATAGCAATAGGTGCACTTCTGATAATAAAGAGATCCCAGCAAAAATTTGTGATTGAAGGGGTTTGTTGCCAGAGGAAGTGTGCACATGTGCTGAAAAACAACTTTATATCTGAGAGGAGAGATGGTATATTCTTGTCCAGAAAGCTTACTGAAGTACACAGAAGTTTATAAAAGGAATACTTAAATTGTCATTGCAAATGAACCTTTGATAAAAAGTCTCTATGCATGAGAAAGATAGTCCTGTTTATGAGTGTTAGTAAGCAGCATACTGTGAATGGTGGCAGTTGGTGCAGTCAGTCCTTCAGAATACTCCTCATGGCCACTTCAAGTGGATTTTCCTACAGCCTGCATTGTTATAATGGGGCCAAGTGTGGAGAGGGCCATGCTGGACAGTCAGAGTCATTAGTTCTTCATGAGAAGAGATGTCTTTGGGGGCTGTTTCAAAGATAGCTGGCAGTCAGTACATTCACTTCTGTTTGGAAGCAGAAAGATCTCCCAACTAGCAGTGTCGTGACAGATTTCACTGAAAGAATACTGCACATCTGAGATACCAGGTGTTGTAGACCTTTGTTTTCTGGAAGCATCTGGAAAGTATCACATGGGTGAACCACTTCTTTTCTTTCTCCCTCCTCTCACCCCCCCCCCTCCGCCCCCCCCCATACACACTTATTTTAGACCATTCTTTGGCATGAAGAAAGAAAACCAAATGAAGCTTTAATGAAAGTTCTAGAAATATCTGTCATGGTTATTGTGCATTGCTGTAGTTGTTTAGAAATCTTCCCATTTCAAACAAACGTTAACGGAAGAGATCATGACACTTAAGACTGAATAATTCATTCTGGAGCTCCTGATGTAGTGAGGGACCTGCACTGATTTTTGCATTTGCTCGGAGAATATACAAAAGATATGCACAGACAGAACAGATTTTGACTGTCTTCTGAATATGGGAAGCCCTGGGAGAAATCCCAGTCTAAGCATGTAGCAGAATCTTTCTGTGAGATCTGGCTTCACTGCTACTATAAAATGAACAAAAGAAAGAGTTTCTAAGCATATTCAGATGCAACCTGGTATGAATCAGTCTAGTTTAAAGTCTTTTCTTGTAATTGGGCGTCTGGAAAGAAAGGTATTACACTAAACAGGAACTTCTGTATGGGCAGATAAAGCACTTGATAACATAACAGCAGCAAGAAACCACCTTAGGCCTCCTGTTTTCCTAAAAGAAATAATTGCATTTCTACAGAAAGCATGAATTTAACATCCTCACTATAGCAAAATTCTAGATTCATCATCATGGTTAATTTTTTTCTTTTTCCAAAGCACTGGAGAACACTTGGCTGATGTCTACAAATGTATTAAAATTGACTATTTTTGAGTGATGGTGTAGGAGTAAGGAACTTCTCCATGACTAAGTGATTTGAATTTACTTGAGGCAGAAAGTCATGTAGAAAGGAAATTCTCAATCTGGTGGTGATAAAGTCCTTAGCAGATCTGTCCTTGTAGTTGCTAATTTATACTGCATAAACTAGTCTGATATCAACATCTTCTCATCTGAATTTAAAATAAGAGGCAAAATCAAACATTTAGAATGAGTCCTGAACTGCTTCAAAAGAAGTACATCCAGCAGGTGGGGGGAGGTAGTCCTGCCCTTCTACTCTGCACTGTGGTGAGACCTTGCCTGGAATACTGCGTCCAGATGTGGAGTTCTCAGTACAGGAGAGATGTGGACCTGCTGGACTGCATCCAGAGCAGGGCCACAGGAGTGATCCAAGGGATGAAACACCTCTCCTACAAGGACAGGCTGAGAGAGCTGAAGCTGTTCAGCCTGGAGAACAGAAGGCTCTGAGGTGATTTGATTGTGGCCTTTCAGTATCTAAAGGGGGCTATAGGAAGGAAGGGAACAGGCTCTTTAGCAGGATTTGCTGTGACTGGACAAGGGGAAATGATTTCAAACTTAAAGAGGGGATATTTATATTAGACGTAAGAAAGAAGTTTTTTACAGTGAGGGTGGTGAAGGACTAGGACATGTTGCTCAGAGATGTAGTGGATGCCTTGTCCCTGGGGACACTGAAGGACAGACTGGATGAGGCTCTGAGCAGTCTGATTTAGCTGTAGGTGTCCCTGTTCATTGCAGGAGTTGGACTACATGGTCTCCAGGTGTCCCTTCCAACTCAAATTCTATGATTCTGTGATTTTTAGTGGTTTGCAAAAAGAGAAGATGGAAATTTGGCTCTAGAGAAAGCTGATGCATGAACAAGTGCTTGTTATCGATTGAAATTCTGATTGTGTAATACAGTTTCTGAGAATAAGCAATGTAATTCTTTAGAAGCTAACTTGAACAAATAATTCATGGAATCACAGAATGTCAAAGATTTGATCATCTAGTTCCAATCCTCCTGCTGTGGGCAGAGTTGCCAATGACATCATGTCACTAAGGGCCCCATGCACAAGCTTTATTACTGTAGACAGTTGTAGAATATTTATCAGCTGTATGAGTTGCATGTGGCTGATCTGCGTTGTGAAGAACGAAGTCCAGTGATCATGTGTGGATATCTAAGAGTAGCTCAGTGTACAAATAGTCAGTGTACAAATGCATCTTTCTTCTCAAATATTTCTGAATTACATTTCAGGCAGCTGGATTAAGGTGGAACAGAAAAACTCAGTGTGCTTTAATACTGAGAATGTGATTGTGTAGGGCTGTAGGTAACAGCTTCCT